CTTTTTGTTCCATGTTGATTAGCGATAAATACGTCTTCTCATGCTTCATAGCACTTGCAAACTAGTTTAAAAACAGGGAACTAAACCTCTCAAAACTATCGATAGAACTAACCGGCAGCTGGTGGAACCAATCTTGGGCTGACCCTTTCAACATCGTCAGGAAAGCTCGGCAACTGACAGCATCACTATACCTGAGTAGAACCGCTATGTTGTCGAATGACCTTAAGTGTCTCGTTGGATCTGTCGACCCATCATAAGATAAGCTTAATTCCCTAAAATTATGTGGCAGGTCACCTTTCAACACTTCTTTTGTAAAAGGATGCGCACGAGATACTATGGGCCTTCTTCTCTTCCATCCGTGTTTGTAACTCCCGCATCTGGGAAGCCAACCTTTCCAAAGTTAATCCTTCTTGTTGCGTCGTTGCGATAGTCCGAGAGGTTGCCAACTTGTCCTCGTCCTCGTCACCCCTCTCCTTACGCTGAGCCTGGTGAGGGGGCAGAGCCTGCTGCTGGAGTACGGACTGCCTGATTGGTTCATCTAGAGCCCCTCTATCAACAATTTGAGCTCGTCTGATCTCCTCGGCAATAATCCTGTCCAGCTCTGCTCTGGTCATATGCAACATCTGGTCCCCTCCTCCCGCCGGGAGGTTGTTTTCTTGAGGATTGTTTACTCTTGCTGCGACCCTTTACCTATTATCCAAGGAACCCGTCGGTCCACCCCCACTTCCGAATCCGCCGACGACCTGATTGACTACCCCTTAGTGGGACTGCCGAGCTCACCCTCAATCCCTCTGGGGCCACTGACTGCCCTTGAGTATCTTTTGCCGGTGTCGAGGTGATACCAAGTGCCGGTAAGGTTTCCTTGGGCGTAACTAGTCTTTGACCACCCCGGCGGGGGTCCATCTCCAAACTCCCACAGACGGTGCCAATTTGATACGTCAAATTGTCTTAAACCGCTGGACCTTCTCCGAATCGGCCCGCCCTCCTTGAATCGCCGGTAACCTGCAAATACGCCGGGGGTGGTCCCGGCGCAAACACTCCGACGCCCAAGTCAGTGAAGAATTCGGGAGAAGTAGCAGATATAGAAGACAAAGCGTATTTATATATAATGTGTGTGTTGTGTATAAAAAGAAACATGTTCTCCCTTTTATAGTTGAAGAACCGTGACCTAGGAAGACTCCTACTGCCAATAGAGTTCTACTTCCGCCCGCCTCTTGGCAATGCTAATCTCAAAAGAGAGGAAGACTCCATGACCTATACGTTAGTGACAGATCGTTAGATGAGCTCGGCCAACGCCGAGCTTTCCACCAGCTTTCCTACCCAAGCTCGGCTGCGCCCAGCTCCCGACATCCAGATCGCATTTTACACTTAGGACCAGCTACCCTTGCGCACCATGCCTCATCCATGTCTTTTACCAGATTCTTCTTTAAGTTGTCATCAGTCATGGTGAATGTTGGTGAGAAAAATCAGCCTCTTATCTCAAGTTATAGATACTGAATCTCCCCACAGACGGCGCCAATTTGATACGTCAAATTGTCTTGAACCGCTGGACCACTTCTCCGAATCGACCCGCCCTCCTTGAATCGCCGGTAACCTGCAAATACGCCGGGGGTGGTCCCGGCGCAAACACTCCGACGCCCAAGTCAGTGAAGAATTCGGGAGAAGTAGCAGATATAGAAGACAAAGCGTATTTATATATAATGTGTGTGTTGTGTGTAAAAAGAAACATGTTCTCCCTTTTATAGTTGAAGAACCGTGACCTAGGAAGACTCCTACTGCCAATAGAGTTCTACTTCCGCCCGCCTCTTGGCAATGCTAATCTCAACAGAGAGAAGACTCCATGACCTATACGTCAGTGACAGATCGTTAGATGAGCTCGACCAACGCCGAGCTTTCCACCAGCTTTCCTACCCCAGCTCGGCTGCGCCCAGCTCCCGACATCCAGATCGCATTTTACACTTAGGACCAGCTACCCTTGCGCACCATGCCTAGCTCGTCCTTTCAAGGCTGCTTAGCTCAAACACCTACCTCGGCCATACGCGAGCGGCCGAACTCAAAAACCTATCTTACCATTATACTTTCTCATCACCGGTCCAATCTCTGCCAAGCTCATTCTCAACTTGGTTTTCAGGATCGCCTTTGTCACTGCTAAGGACTACCCAACCGAGCTACAAAGATGCTATATCAAAGTGTCAACACTTTTATACGTTTTAAATTTTAATAGATGAAAATTACATACAACATTCACATTCCCTCCTCACTTTCTTTTTATTTATTTTGATTTTTTTCTTTTAAATCCTACTAATTTCTTCTTCAAGCAACACTGAAAGAACTTGCAGCACTCTCTACAAACTTCCTGGCACCTTTGAACCATCTCTTGTCCCCAGCTTGTGCCTTGCAGATGCAAAGCTACTACAACATAAATGGCCTTTAGTAACACCATATAAATAATACTTAATAACTAAAACATGTTACTATAAATGATAGGTAGCACAATTATTGGCGCTATAATTGCTTATGCTACCTATTCTATAAGGTAACATATAATGTAGCTTTTCCTAACACTTATTTTATATGTTACTTAAATAACTTATTGCATCATTTTCAAGTAACACATTTCAAGTGTTATCTATAACCTTTATGTAGAACTTTCTTAATTAAATGCAACATTTTTTCTATCGCACTTTTAATTGAAGTGTAACATTTTATTTTATATTGTATCACTTTCATGTCCCTATTGCAACACTTTTAACTTTTTTTATGTAATACTTTTCATTATAAATAATACTTTTTGGTATCACTAAATAATTCATAATTGAATATTATTTGACAATTAAATTTACAAATAAGTTTTATAAATTAAATCAATAATCATGTCTATGTACAAAAAGCTCTTTCCATCCACATCTAAAACAAAAACACAACATTCTAAACATGGTTTATAGAAATTAGTAAAATGTCTAGATATCTTCTAAATATCCATCATAAATGCCACCACCCTCACTTATCAGCTCCATTAATTTAATGTCATCATCAATATGCCGAGGTAACAAGACCCATGGATTATAAATTTGTTGCTTCACCTACACCATCCTGAAAAATAATTTTCGTATTACAACAAACAATCATGTAAATCTAAATTTAACAAGAAATAAAACAAACGATTAGTAGAGATTATTCTCTTAAATCAGTCCCATTTACCAATCACTCTCCTTCTGCTTACTACCCTTGATTTTCCCTTTTATTTCATTCTCACGCCATTTTCATTGGGTTTTTGCTTTTTAGGTTGTGGAGGGACCTAGATTTCTTCAGCATCATGTGTGATTAATATCTCATTCATCAGCTATGGAAGAAGAAATCGCTCACAAGTTAACATCCTTTCAACTCTCAGAAAAGGAGGCCAAATTGATTGCCCTAGATTCAACAGATATACATAATAGCGCGGAAGTTTGCAAGCGAAGCTTATTTGGCAAAATACACGGCCAGAAAAAAAGCCCAACTTCCCGGCCTACGACGTGCAATCTGCATCATCTGGCAGATTAAAGCCTCGGTATCTATTCGCGAACTTAGCACAAATTACTTTTAGTTCGTGTTTGATGATATCAAAGTGACCAAGGGCACAACATGGACATTCGAAAATCAATTCCTAATTCTTAAAGAGTGGCAGGAGGATTTAAAAGACAATCATCCCAGCTTTAAAGAGCTTGAACTATGGGTGCAAGCATGGAATTTACCCCTTGACTGGTGCTCAACAGAGGTGGGAGCTAAGATAGGAAGTGTCTTCAACAAAGTTAAGAATGTCTCGATCCCTCAAAATGGATGGTTGGCAGGTAAATGCATTTGGCTTTTGGTGTCTATTGACTTGGATCAACCATTGCTCAGATGTGCATCTCTCCTTCTTCAAAACCGGAGAATTTTTGTTGAATTCAAATACGAGAAGTTGGTTAGCTTGTGATTCTATTGTGGCTTGTTAGGTCATCTTGACAGGAACTGCGAGATCAGATCTCAAGATATCACTAATGGGACTATGAAAGAAGGGTTATATGGGAACTGGCTAAAGGCTTTTGAATACCAAAGCCTATACACTTACTCCCCTCAAAACTTAAACCCAGACTCCCCTATTCCTAGTGCTTCTTCCCCCTCTAAACTATCTTCCCCTTCTATACAGCCCACCCAAACATCTGAACCCGCAAATCTCAACAGCAAGGACCCTCCTCAGAACTAGGCTACTGATCCTCTTAAAGCCTCTTCTCTTCCTAAACCTCTAATAACAACTCAAAATTCACCTGTACCTATCCTCCTCACTGATGCCATCATGACAGAAGAACCTCTAAGCCCATTAGTCAACCTCTCTCAAACTACATCCCTTCCATCTGAAAACCCACAGAGCATATCTCCTCCTAAAAAACTAAAAACATGGAAAAGGAAAAACACCCCCACACCCACATCAGCCTCCAACCCAACTACTCATGCTTTTCCCACAATAGGCAAAAGACAACTCTCCAGTTCCACAATTCTTGATCCTCAATCTACTTATCCTGAGATGCCTGATATTCCAGATTTGCAATGTCCCAAAAAACAGAAACTTTCTTCAGATGTGGTGAGGGAGGCCAGCCCTGAATGGCCCCATCCCCATCAATGAACACCATTTTCTGGAACTGTAGAGGGTTGGGTGGCCCCTCTACAGTTTCCCAACTCAAGGAGTATGTCAGACTCCA